TCATTGGAGATCCGTTGAAGAATTTAGAGCAGTAAGATATAATACTATCGTATTTACATTTTAAATTGTTCAGTGGTTGCTTGTAGAGGCTGATCAATTGGCTGGAGAGAGGTAGAGGGAGAAGTTAAGATGCTATTTCCTGAGCTCCAGGTTATGAAAACCTGAGATAGAATAAAAGAGATGTAGCCTATGTAAAGCGTTGGATAGATCTGAGAGACCTATAAGGTAAAATTAGTAAAACTTAGTAAAAGATTATTTGTGAGGATAAGGCTAGAGAGAAGTTCAGGGTGGCTCCCAGGATAGTGGCTTGGGTGATTGGAGTGATAATAGTACTATTTGCTAGAATAGACAATACTGGAAGAGGAATAGTTTGAAAGGGTTGGGGACAGAGATGAGAGAATGAGCTCATGTTTTTGGTTTCGGTTTTTCTTTTTCTGGTTTTGTTTTGTTTTGTTTTTTGAGACAGAGTCTCGCTTTGTTGCCCGGGCTAGAGTGTGGTGGTATCATCATAGCTCACTGTAACCTCTAACGCCTGGGCTCAAGCAATCCTCCTGCCTCAGCCTCCTAAGTAGCTGAGACTATAGGTATCCACCACCACACCTAATGGCTAATTTTTTAAATTATTTTTTGTAGGGATGGGGTGTCTTGCCCAGGCTGGTCTTGAACTCCTGACCTCAAGCAATCCTCTTGCCTCAGGCTCCCAAAGTGCAAGGCTTACAGGTGCAAGCCACTGCTCCCAGCGAACTCATGTTTTTATGTGTTGAGTTTGAAGTGCCTGTAGGATTCCCAGGTGAGATGGAAAGAATTTGGGGCTGTATATACATTTGGAGTTAGGAGCATTTGGGTGCTTAGGGCCATGAACGAAGTTTCTAATGGGGATGATAAAAAATGAGAATATAGAAGGCCTAAGGTTAGAATTGTGGGTGCAATAGCTTTTGATGCAGGCACAGGAAGAGGAGTCCACAAAGGTGCCCAAGACACAGGGCCAGAGAGACAGGAAGAGTGGTCAATAAGTATCAAATGCTACAAAGAGATCAGCAGTAAGGATGACTGTGATTATCTTATCTATTATATAAGTCAGTGTCATTCTCTTTCTGTAGCGGCTCATTTTAGTAGGTTGAAGACAAGGAATTTTGCAGGGAGGAGGAGAATAGCAACCACCAGGTAGAGGCAGGGGAAGAAACCTCAAGGAACTTCTCTTGCTTTGTTTTGTAATTTATTTATATTTTTCTGTGAAGTAGGAGGGCAAAGTAATTTGCCAGGAGTAAGGGGAGGTGATAGGGATTGAACAGGAGGCTCAAGAAGAATGGTAGAGGTATGGGATAGTAGCTGAGAAAATTGGTTGAGGTACCAAAGTCTAGCAAAAGACAGCAGTATTTCAATAAAAGGAAGGAGGCTGAATACCAATTATTAGTTGTCATATTTCTCTATAAGGTTGTGTAATCTTATCTTGCTCAATAGCCCCATTTAGTAGCAGAGAAGTTGAATGTGGGACAGATGAAATAGTCCAAGTTGGACAGATGAAATAGAAGGATAAAATAACTAGATTTTTACAGGAAAGTAAATTAAGTGATCAATCATTGGTTTCACTTTCAGTTAGGCAAAAGGGGACAAAGTGTAATCCATTTTTCTGTCTTCATTGCTATTATCCTAGTCTAGCTCTCCACCATCTCTTTTGCAATAATTTTCTAACCAATTCTTTCCCTAAATTCGCTTGTGTTCCCTTCAAGCTATTCTTACTGTAACCAGGGTGATCTTTTAACAATTCATATCTCATCATGTCCTATCCATGCTTATAACCCTTCAGTGGCTTCTCATTACTTTTAGGATAAAATTTCAAATCTTTTTAACAGGATCCACTAGGCCCTTTCTTCGTCCTCATTTTGTATCATTCTTACCTCTAAGTTACTTCCTGCCACAGAACTTTGATATATGTTTCCTTTGCTTGGAGCATTCTCCCTTTCCAAATTTGTCTCTCCAATTGCTACTTACTCTTCAATTCTTATATGAATCATCATTTCCTTGGGGAAGCTTTTCCTGACTTCCTATAGGAGATAACACTCCTTTCCTCAACATTTCTTTATTATAATTATTTGTGAAATTTTGTGGGCTTTTTTCCATACTGGAAGTTTTGTGAAGATAGGGTTTTTGTCTAGTTCACTGTTGTGTTTTTAATCATGGGCATAATGCCTAACATATATAGGCACTCTATGAATTTTTGTTGCATTAATGAATAAAGTGGTTAAGGGATTGGATATCTTAGTGAGGTGAGAAAGCAGATTTAGAAGTAGAGAGAAAAAGCTGAGGGGTGATGAGGTTATGCCCAGAATAAGATGTTGGAGTTTAAGATTTAGAGGTAGAATGGTTTCAGGAAATGGTAGGGTCCAGGTCTGAGCTGTTGTAGTAGAAATGGAGGTCTTTGTATTTGAAGAGATTGTGAAACTCTAAGGCAGAAATGTTAGGTGAATTGTGCAGGTGGATGTTGAAATTGCTCAGAAGATGGTAGGATTTTAAGTGAGGAAAATATAAGGCAGGTATTTAAGTCTTTAATAAATATGAGAATAGGCACAGTGCTTTCTTATGGTGAAAGAATTAAATGGGTAAGAATCAGGACAGTTCCAGGAATCAATAATGCCCTAGTCCCTTAGGAAGCAGCAGATACAATAGAAAGAGCATGGGTTCAGACTATCTGGGTTGAGACTTTGGGCTACCCACCTGACTTTCAAGCCTTTTTTGTTCCTCTATAAATTAGGAATAATGAGACCTACTGCAGGAGTTTTGTCATTAGTGAATCAGATAGTGTTTTTGAACGTGCTTAACTAATATTAACTTGTTAGTTTTTATTCTTGTTTGCTATCATCACTTCAGAAGGGTATGGAAGTGGAATTAGGGGTGAGAGGCAAAGATAGCAGCAGAAGTGAATTTTGCACAAGATATATGATATAATATTTCATCTATTTAGCATGTTCAGTTTATAGGGTCAGCACAAACATTTACAAATGAATACAGGTATAAGCAAGTACTGATAATAAGAAAGGATTTTATAAAATAAAGGCCACTGGCTGGTTATGGTAACATTGTGATATTCATCTGCAACAAATGTTTATGTAAAGAAATGTATTACCTAATAATTTTCCATGAAAACTTCATGCATGGGAGGAGATTTTATTGTTCTAGGGAACAAAATAAGGACCATTATATCAAAGTTATAGGGAGAGGGGTCTGGTGATAGCTTTTGCTTTAGTTTAGGAAAGCATTTTCTAACAATTAGAGCTGTCCAACAATAAAATAGACATTATGACAAAATAATGAGGTCTCTATGAGACATTGTATTCAAGTAGAGACTAAATGATTTATCTGTCAGAGATGTAATAGGCGGATTCTTGCATGGAGGCAGGCAACAGATTAAATAATTGCTAAAGGTCCTTCCAGTTGGAAGATTGGAGAATTTTGATGCCAGTTAAAATCCGTCTTTACATCATTCAGTTAACAAATATTTGAGTGCCTCCTATGTTTTGCTGGAAAGGTTGAAGGTTGAAAGCCATTGTGTGCCTGTGGGGGGCGGGGTTGTTTTGGTTTTTACTTTTTTTTCCCTTTCTGTGTCCTGAGTCAGAGCCAAAGACTAGTGTTAGTAATTGTCTTTGCTATCCCCATGTGGAATTTGAGAAGTTCAAGCCAGATGTTTGTGTCGATATACCAAAAACTGCTGTCCTCACCTGTTAGGTGGGGTTAGTGTGGAGTCCATGACATGTACCTGTAGACATCAAATTTAAGAACATGCTGCCAGGAAGTTTGGTCTAGTGCTTTGAATTTTTGCTAAAGAACAAATCGTTTTAGATCATGTCAGACTTCTGAGTTATTATTATTATTATAACTTTTAGAGACAGGGTCTCACTCTGTTGCCAAGGCTGGAGTGCAGTGGCCTGATCATAGCTTATTGTAACCTCGAACTCCTGGGCTCAAGTGATCCTCCTGCCTCAGCCTCCCAAGTAGCTAGGACTACAGGCATGCGCCACCACACTTAAATCTTTTTTGTAGAAGTGGGAGTCTCGCTATATTGCCCAGGCTGGTCTTGAACTCCTGGCCTCAAGCAATCCTCCCAACTCAGCCTCCCAAAATGCTGTGATTACAGGCATGAGCCACTGTGCTTGGCTAAAATTATCTTTTAAAGATGTTTTTTGAAGAGAATGACCTATCTTATCTACTGTGTTGACATGTGAGATCCATGATGCCCTATCACTGATGGTTTTCATTCACTTCTCTCACTCAGAAATGCCTGTCTGGCTGGAAAATTGAACATGCCTGTGGCTTAATCAACTCTTCTTTCTGCTGACCACCTTTTTGCTGATTGTTCTTTTTTATACTTACTGTATATTTCTCACATTCTTTCAGAAAGTTATAAAAATGTCTTTACTGTTACTTCAACTTTTTTTTTAGAGAGTGGGTTGAAATTTATTTTGTAGCTCTGTACTTGGTTTTGGATTATTCAGGTGTATAAATTATTTGAGCTGCTACAATCTCCTGTGACCTAAGACCATGACTAAAATGGGCTTGGAAAAGAAATTCTTCCCTGTATTAGGGAGGGAAAAGCCTTTCTATGAATTCTGAAGGAATTTAATTCTTAAGTATTGAATGTAAAGAACTAATTTACTTTATAACTTGACATTTTGAATTTGAGGTATCTTAGACCAAAAGTTCTTAATGTATTAGTAGCCCTCTCTGAGGTTGCTGTGAGCTAGCTGATGCCATGGCACCCTAGCCAGGGCAACAGAGCAAGACTTCTGTCTCAAAAAAAAAAAAAAAATGTTAATAAGGAACTAGGGAATTAAATGTTACTCTTTATAATAAATTTTCGACTGCTGTATTTTAAAACCTGGAATGAGTGAGCTAGGATAATTAGTTTCCCCAGTTGGTTAGGAAGCTGCTGAAATTGGGCTGTGATCATTCTGTTCCAGTGTAATTTAAGCCTTATGTGTTTATTTCTTCAGGTGGAGGCCTGAATTTTGATCTGTGTCGTACCTGCATCCAGCTGCCTGAAAGTACTTGATGATCACATGACCCTGGACATGGATGCTGTCCTGTCGGATTTTGTCCGTTCCACAGGAGCAGAGCCAGGGCTGGCCCGAGATCTCTTGGAAGGTAAGAAGTCATGGAGAAAAATGAGAAAAGAGAAAGTAAAATGTGATATTTATAATCAGGATGATTTGAAGCATTTAAGGTTATGAGGAAGATTACATATGGCAGGCCCTACATTTAAGTTACTTCTAATGATCTGCTTTATGTATGACCCACCAAAATTTTAAAATTCAAAATCCTCTTTTCACCTCGAACTTCCTGAGGTAGCTTTTTCCACTATCAGTGTGTGTTCAGGTGTAATGCAAATGAAAAGGTGCGTTAGTCTACTAAAAGCATAATTCTAGATCTGTACAACTTCCTCTTTATATGTGAATGCCTTTTGGATTTTCATATTTGGGATCATCCATGGTTTTTTGTTTCTTCCCTGACTTATATGAGTAATTGTATGTTGAGTGAATTAATTTCATGTTTTCATTTTGCTGCTTTTGTTTACTTATATCTGTATGTACATATAAGTTTGAATGTTCTATATTTTAAGGTCCTGAAGGGTTAGAATAATTTCCATAGGGTTCTTTGTTTAGAGTCATAACAGGTAAAGATGTGAAAATATATGATGGCACAGGTGGGCCTATGGGGAAGGGGCAAGTTCTTAGCATACACAGGCAGTTTTTTAGATTGTCAGCCCTTAGCAGGGTGTGACAATTTGACATTTGCTTAGCTACCTGTGAGAAGAGCATGAGTTTGGAAACAGAAGATCAGGGTTTAAATTCCAGTTTACTAATTCAGGACGAGTTTGCCCTTAACTTGCTTAGTTTCATCTCTTACTACTTTTCCCCACACTTCCTGTGCTCCAGCCAGGCCTGACTTGTCACCTCTCCTTGATCATGCTAGGTTGTTTTCTAAGTCTATAGCATTCTTTCCTCCATTATTCTCCTCATCCTTCAAGATTCAGTTCAAATGCAACCTCTTCTATAAAATAATCCTTAACCTTTCCCCATTCCTCTTGTAACCTGTAAGCGTTCAATATGTGCAAGGTGCTTGAGATACTTTATTCTCACAACTACTCTGCAATATAGGTTTTATTATCCCAGTGTTATACTTCTAAAAACTGAGACTTAATGAAGTTAAGTAGGATTTGAACCTAGGCAGTTTGGTTTCAGACTGGTGGCTCTTAACAATTATGTTATAGATTATTGCTTGTGTGCTCACACCTATAGGCATATGCGTGCACTCACGCTATGAAAGAAAAGTTGAGAGTGCCATGAGAGGGAAGAGAGAAACCTGATTTAGATCTAGAAAGGAAGGCCTTTTGAAGGAAGTGGTGTTTGAACTGAGCCCTAAAGGATGAGTAGGAGTAGCAAGACAAAGGGATGTAGAAGACAGTGTTTATACAGAAGAAATAGCTTGTGTAAGGGCTGTAAGGTGAGAGAGAGCTTGGCACATTGGAGAAACTAATAATGAGCAAGACAGTAAGAATAGTTCAAGAGTGGTAGGAAGCTGCTTAGATACAAGGAAGCAGAATATGGGGGGGCCTTTGTGGGCCTTGGTAAGGAGTTTACATTTTATTCTAAGTTCACTGGGAGGCTGGTGAAGGATTTTAATCAGGGGACTTACACGATTGGATTTGAGTTTTTAACAATGTACTGGTTGTAGGGTATGGAATGGATGAAAGGTGGCCAGAGAAAAAGTGTATAAAACCAATTAAGAATATCGCCATAGTTCAGGTGAGAGATGATGGTGACTTGGACTACTGTGGTAGCAATAGAGAGAAGCAGATGGATTTAAGATATAATTTAGAAGGGGAATCAAAGGACCTGATCCTCACTTTCTCTCTGTCCTTTGCCTTTTTCCTTTAAAAGTTAACTCTGGTTGTAGTGTGAAGACGAAATGTGAAAGGGAGAGATTAGGAGCAGGGAGACCAGCTAGCTCCTTCCTGAGAGACCAAAGACTAGGTAAAGATTATGAGGACCTGAATTGGGACAGTGGCACTAAAAATGGACAAGAAGGAATGGATTTGAGAGATATTTCCGAGTACAGACAACCCTGAGGATCAACTGGGTGGCTTGAAAGAGAAAGAGTAGGATCTGAGGAATGGTGAGGAGCTGAAGATGACTGAAGTTTCTGGGCCTCAGGGGATTGTGATGCCATTACTGATTTAGAGACAGAGGAGGAGGAGAAGGAGCAAGTTTTGGGAAGGAGGATGATGGACATTCAGTCTGGGACATATTGATTGTTAGGAATACCTGACTTTAAGGAGATTTGTATAGCAAGTGCTGAAGGCAGATATTATTCATTCATTGATTGAGGACAAAAGTCCTCCATTCATTCAACAGATATTTATTGAGTGCCTACTATGTGCCAGCTACTATTCTAGATGCTTGACCAAAACAAAACAAACAAAAATCCATGCCCTCATGTTCTAGGAAGAGAGATAGTCAATAAGCAATAAACATGTTAACTAAAGTACATTATAAAGCGTATTGTAAGGTGTTAAGTGCTATGGAAAATGGTAAGGGAAATGATGAAGCGGGTTGTGATTTTTAATTAGGTCATCAAGGTAGGCCTTATTAAGAATGTCACATTTGAGCAAATACCTAAAGCTGATGAGAAATTGTCTGTGTAGATATATTGGGGAAAGACTCTTCTAGGCTGTGGGGATTGTTAATGGAAAGGCCCTAGAGTAGAAGCAGACTTAGCATGTTCTAGGAACAGCAAGGCCAATGTGACTGGAGCAGAATGAGCAAAGGGAGTCATTGCAAATGGTAAATGTAATGATTTAGAAGTAAAATCATAAGTAAAACCAAGTGTTTTTAACTCTTTTTATCTTCATGACAACCCTATGAGGTAGGCACTGTTATTATCCCCTGCATTTTCACAGACAAGGAAATTAAAGCACATTTATTGTGTACTTTATTTCTATTATTATTACATTATAATGTATAATGAAATAATTATACAACTCACCATAATGCAGAGTCTAATGTCGCCACAGATCTGACAAGAGGCGGAGCTCAGGCGGAGAAAATGCCAGAAAAGTAGGCCAGGTCATAGAAAGCCTCGAATACCAGGCAAAGGAGCCTAAGTTTTATTCCATAGGCAGTGAAAAACCATTAAATATTTTGATTATGGGTCGGATGTAGTGGCTCACACCTGTAATCCTAGCACTTTGGGAGGCCGAGGCAGGAGGATTGCTTGAGGCCAGGAGTTTGAGACCAGCTTGAGCAAGAGTGAGATCCTGTCTCTACAAGAGATAGAAAAATTAGCTCAGCATGGTAGCACATGCCTGTAGTCCTAACTACTTGGAATGCTGAGGCAAGAGGTATTGCTTGAACCCAGGAGTTTGAGGTTGCAGTGATCTATGATGACACCACTGCACTCTAGCCCAGGTGACAGAGCAAGACCTTGTCTCAAAAAAAAAAAAAAAAAAGATTTTAATTATGGAACTGAAATGATTACAACTGTGCTTTAGAAAGATTAATCTCATGGGATTCTTTAGAGTGGACTGGAGGTGGGACAGTAGGTGACAGGAATTGAATTAAGGTAGTGGCATATGGAATAGAACAGAAAGTGTGAAAAACTATGCAATACATATTTATTGAATAATTTAACTGGAGAAAGCAACAGAAAAATCCATTATGACAAATCTATTATTTAGGGTTATTTCTTCAGTAGAGTAGTGATTCTTAAATTGGAGGGGAAATATATTAAATAATTCCCTTTGATAAGCTGTTGACAGTTTACTAGAGTTTTTCTAGTAAACTCTTTTACTAGAGAAATGCACAAAACCGTAACTTTGTATACAAGTTCAATGGTTTAGGATACCCTGGAGCTGTGGTCCCTGATCCCCAGGCTGCAGCCCAGTACTGGTCTGTGGCCTGTTAGGAACTGGGCCACATAGCAGGAAGTAAGTAGCGTCAGGTGAGGGAGCCGGGTGAGGGAGCGAAGCTTCACCTGTATTTACAGCGGCTTCCCATCACTCACATCACTGCCTGAGCTCTGCCTCCTGTCAGATCAGTGGCAACATTAGATTCTGCTTTATGGTGAGTTGTATAATTATTTCGTTATATATTATGATGTAATAATAATAGAAATAAAGTGCACAATAAATGTAATGTGCTTGAATCATCCCAAAACCATCCTCTCCTCGCCCCACCATCTATGGAAAAGTTATCTTCCATGAAACCAGTTCCTGGTGCCAAAAAGGTTGGGGACCTCTGCCCTAGAACACATCTAGGCTAAGAACCTCTTTGGATCTCAGAATTAGGAGATGTGGGCTTGAGTCCTGCTGGGCCCTGGTACAAACTAGCTGTGACTTTTGGCAAGTCATTTTACTTCTTTAGGCTTTGTTTCCTTTATCTGTAAAAGGAAGTTTTAGTTTTAGGTTACTAGATCTCTCAGAGCTCTTTTAGATCAGAGAGAGCTAAACTCATTTATTAGTGGAACTTATTTAGGAAATAGATAATAAATAAGTAAATAAAGAAATTTGATATTTTACATGAAGAAAATTAAAGCACAGTAAGGAAAAGGAAGAATAATTGAGTGTGCATGAATATATGCTTGCTGGTTTTGATAGGATGGTTAGTGGGATCTCTTCATGTCTTTCCCCAGTTTTCCTGTACTCTGAGTGCACAATTCACTTTTTGCTTTGTCTCCTGACAGGAAAGAATTGGGATGTGAGTGCTGCCCTCAGTGATTTTGAACAGCTACGTCAAGTCCATGCTGGGAACCTACCACCATCCTTTAGTGAAGGGAGTGGTGGCTCCAGGACCCCTGAAAAAGGGCTTTCTGATAGAGAGTCTGCTCGCCCTCCCCGACCCATCCTACAGCGGCAGGATGACATCATTCAAGGTACTGGAGTAACTGGGGCATGTTTCTGTATATGGAGTAGGAAGGGAGGGGGTTGCTAAATGGAATCAGAAAGTCCCAGTGATCCTTTGGAGATGATTCCATTCCTTCCCTTTATCCCCAAGCCAAACCCAGATTGAGGCAGCCTCAATCTGTCCAGGTGCTGGAGCCCCTAAGTGTCTCTCTGCATCTTGAGTGTTATCCCATATAAAAGCCTTCTTCAGATACTGTGAAGGAAATAGAGAAAGGAGGATAACAATCTATTTGTTGAGATAAGGTACACATACATGTAGAATTAAAAGGGTCACTACCGTCTACCTATTTGGAGGGTGATTTGTTAATATTTGCCAGTATCTATCAAAATTAAAATGCATATACACTCTTTGACTCAGCAATTTCATATCTAGGAATTTATCATATATGTGTATGTGTGTATACATATATATGTCCTTTAAATAAATATATACTTATATAAACACACATGCAATGTACAAGGATATTCACTGCAGCATTATTTTACAGTAATTAAAGCTTGAAAACTTTTAATGTCCATTAGTAAAAGAGTGGTTAAACAAATTGTAATCATCCATATTATGGAATACTCTGCAGTCATTAGTAACAGTGCAATATATGTAGTATGCTCTTGTTTGTGTTTTAAAAGATGATTTTAAAAGCTACATGTGCTTTTATGTGCATAAAAATTTTTAGAAGCATACAAAAGTTTGCCTC